CCTTCTATTGCAAGAGATGTACCTCACAGCTACAGAAATCCCTACCTTGGGGCAATATCCTAGATAAAGCTCTTTCTGAGGCTCAGTAGAGATTCTGTTCTGTTGAGCATTGAACTTGAGAGTGAGACAGAAAATCTGTGCTCCATCTTCCCCTGAATACAAATTTCTTCATGATTTTGTATTTGCTACCACTGCTTTAATAGTGAAATTTAGGTGAGTGTTATTAAACTTCATATTTCTCTTAATCTTCCCTTCCTGTGTCTTTAGACAGTGCATGTTCCTGATGTTTTAAGGAGAAAAGAAAAGGGTCTATGGGAATGCCTCCTTATTCAGTTTAAACACTTATATGAATAAAATATAGCTGTGAAAGAGTATTTCACACAGAATGTAGAAGGGTATAATTAAAAGCAGAAAAAGCTTCCTTTCAGAGACTTAACTTCTTACAACTTCCCTTATTCAAAAGATGCAGGGGCCCTGGGTTTGGAAGGAAAGGCTGTAAATCATATACAAGTTTTCCCAAATTAAGATGAGCCAAAAAAAGAGGTAAAACTGTGCAGGCAAGAACAGTTTTTAGAGTATGCCTTCAAAGCTTCACAAAGAGAGCATGATTTATGTAGCTGAAAAACTCCAGCACTATTTGTGTCAATCTAAGATGGATGGAGGATCCATCCTACCATTTTTTAGCAATTCCAACACTTTTAAATAGCTAAATCAAATGGTTAAACACTTCCAAACAAGGCATACAGGACTGTTACTTGATTCTGTATGTATTTTTTTCCTTCTGAACTCACTGAAGGAGTGTCTCTTTAAAAATATATTATTTTAAGAAATTGGCATTGAAGAATATTGGTCGCTGAGTACAGAATAGTTGAAAGGGAACAAAAAAGGTTTCTTGGCTTGCATGGTCTCTTGAGTATGTGTTTTGTTTGAACAGATGCAGATTTCCTTTTTTAAGATTGTTAAATTTTTTCAAAGTTGATAGCTGGGTGATTTTGCTACTTTTAGAGTAAGCAGTTGGCTTAAAGCAGGAGTTGGATGAGGCAAGTGGAAAAAACAATGTCTTTCTCCATTCAGCCCTGTTTAAGTATGCACAAATAAATTCCAGCTCTGTGGACTTAGATCTTGTGATGTTACCAAGTTATGTTGTGACAATACTTGTGTTGTAACATCACCTAGAAAAAAACAATGCAGATGTCAAGAGAAAGTGAGCTGCACTGGGCTGCTGCCTGCCAAGAGTCCTGCTCTCTTCCTTCTCTTCAGAGTTGGAGGAGAATTTCTTCCTCAGAGCCAGGACTTTCTCATCACTCTTGTTACTTTACTACAGCTTGAGCTGTACTGAGCTGGGACTTGAAGTCAGTGCTGTGTGTTAAATGGTGTGAATGCTGCTCCTGGGTTCTCAAGCTCAGACCTCTTCAAGCTCATCCTTAGAAAATGAACTGGACAAGTGGTCACCATTTGAGGTCCTGAGAAACTAACTTTTGGAAGCTGGCTGTGTCATGGCATGCAAATAGGGAGCCCTTTGTGAGCAGGGCTAGTTATCCTTCAGCATTTCCCTTGTGTTGACTGTGGGAATAGGGACTCACACTTGTGTCACTACCTGTTTTTCTGTGTACCCAGGAGTCCCTTACAATTCTTGATGATTTTCATTTAAATCATTTATTCAGGGAGATGCAACAGAAAAGCTTAGCAGTGCTCTGTTCTTTTTTCTTTGTGCTGCTTCTGTTTAGTCTTCTTAAAATATGACCCACCTTCATACTACTATCTACAACCTTTTTGCCAGAGGGTTGGAGCTTGCAGTCCTCCTTCCATCTCCTATCTCTTCCACATCTTGCCGTGAAATCTCTCAAAAAGAAATAGTATAGTCATGAAGAGACTGGAAATTACTGTGAACATTCCATGATTCTTCAAGTTGCTTTAGGGTTAGTGAACACATTTAAAGTTGGTTAGTGATGCAAACCACTGCTTTTTGTTGTCCTTTACAGCTGCAGTTGCTGACTGCAAGGAAGATCCAAACAGCTGCCTGTGTATTTTTGCTTTAATGTGTGGGTTTTGAGATTATTCCTGGATTATATGAATCTTTATGGGAAAAGGTGGCTGTGGCTGCCTTAAAGTAGGTCAGTAATTATTAGATTCATGGTTTCTACTTCATGGCACAAAATGTACATGAGGTTTCCTTGCTCTCAGTGAAGACAACACTGCCCTTTCTACAGCAGGCCTTAGTCTCTGGGAAGTTGATAATTTCTGCCCCTTGTCCTGTATTTTCTTCTGATTTTGAATGGTGCCAGTGCTTGCAGGATTTGAGTTGTGGATTCTTCAAACTTTTTGCTTGTAGGCGTAAGGTCTCAGGTGGTTTATGGTTTTTAAAAAGTGAAACAGTGCCAATTGTCTTTAAATGAAGTCCAGGGGTACATCTATATCAGGTCTTTAAAAACTTCAGTACCTGGTATGAACTGTAATGGGCTTATTTTGAAGTGGAGGTGATGCAACAGAGTTTTCAGGCTGGTTTTACACCTTAGGGTGCCTGTTCAGCTGTCTTTTATGCCTTTACCACAGAAGAGGATGGTTTTCTGGCCAGCACTTAGATCCTAGCATCTGAAGGTTTATTTCTGTGCTGGTGTACAGAGCCTAGAGCTGCAAACTGCTGCTCTCTGTAGAGGAGTGGGAGCTGGAAGCATCAGGGCACATGAAAACCAGCAGCCGAGTGTCTTGTGCTGTCCATGTGTACATCATTTGGTAGGCAAGTTGCCACTGCAAGTTGGGATCCTCAGGGAAGGGAGAAATGCCTAAACCATCTCACAGCATCTTGAACCACACATTCAGATTTTTAATCTGTATGATTTCTGACAAGGTATCTCTTCACTATAGGTGAAAACATAGTTTTTATTAATTCCTGGTTGCTTTGAGGCTGTAGTGGTGCTGTTTTTACAGAACCCCTTATGTCTTGGAGATCATGACAGCCCAGAACCTACTGGGGTGCTGGCACTCATCGAGACACAAGAATATGAATCTCTGCATGGGCTGACTTGTCTCAAGAAGTCCACATGCCTTGGTAGCACTGAGGACATGACTAGATGTTCCCTTGTATGAATCTGTCACCTTGTATTTCTTGGAGTTGTTTTGTCTACTCCTTGGGATCATTCTGTAGAAATAAGAGTTCTTTGGCTGCTTGGTGCCTGCTCTGCTAGCTGGCTGTGACAAGAGCTCTTCAGTGTTGTTAGTGCCATGATCTGGTTGTGGCCTCAGCTGCAGAACCAGGGTCATAAATAGTAGGTCTGGCTTGTTTGCAGCTGAAAGGAAATAAGAGTCAGTGACACTGTAGTTATGTGGCTGTTTTGGGTTGGTACCTTGTGAATGGGAAGAAGGGCTCTTGCCTAGTCAGCTTCCAAATACTGCACCAAGGGCTATTTCAAGTTTATAGCATAAGATGCTATTTTTCACCCTTGCTAATTCCATGGTCCATCTGAATCTCAGGAATAACTTAAGACTATCTATTGGGAGCTGCATTGAGCTGATGTTCTGCAGGGTCCATTTCAACTACCTTCATCTTTCTGCATTGTTTGCTGCAGGTGATTGAAGTTGCTTATGCCATCTTCAAAAATATTTCAGTTATTTTTTTCATCTGTGGAACAATGAGATGGAAAAAACTACTACTTATTAGGTTGAAGCTGAATCCTTAAGTCCTAACATGGCAAGCAATGTAGGTATTAAGTGATCTATGTCAGCTGTCTTTATGGCTTTTATTCCAGCTTTGTAGGGTAGAATGAATAATGAAAAACCTAATATTTAGCCTCCTAACCCACTGAAGGTATTTAATAGCTTTAGTAGATTCCACGTTAACAGCAGTTTACTAGCTGGGATTAGAGGCCTTTAATCACTGGTATCACTAGTTGCTATCTCAGGAATTATCTCACTTTCAAAACCACATTAAACTAAGCTCAGGAGCTGTAGGGGCAGGTCTTGTAGCTTCCAGCTGGTGACATGTGCCAATCTTTGTATCTCGTTTTAGGATTCTGGGTACTTGAG